CCCAAGAGCACAATACAACCCAGCTCTTACCCAGCCAAAATACAAGCCCAGGTCACTTGGCCCAAGTCCAATGCACTAAACAATGGGCCACTGCATCTTGCATTCATGAACTGGATGACAAGAGGCACAGTAAGAACGAAGTGTCTTCAGCCCAAGTAAACAACAGAGGGACACAGGGACAGTTACGCATTAACTATTCCGACTGATACACAAAAACCCCATGCTTACGAGTCTAGAAATTGTATACTTCCATAAAATATCCATACCTCCACCACAGCAGGGATTTTTTCCAAGACTCCCCCTCCCCTCTGGAAATTCCTATTGAGCTTGATACATTTCTTGAAATGTTTTGGTCTTAGACAACCCCTACCCCCCAGGAAATTCCAATCCCTTCTGTGGGGGAGTATGGATATTTTCTGGAACTACACAATAATTATATGAGTCACTTCTCTCCAAAGTGCCTTATTTATTTCCATCTTCATTGTAACATAATATAATAAAGGCAGGTAATTTTCATTCATTATGGCAACGCAAGTCTAATACCTGAAGGTCTCAACAAAAATCATTTGTGTAAAGACCAGTAAAAAAATTATTACATTGGTACTTCTCACACATAGCTAAAAATATGGACTAACTTATTAATTGTACTCGGAAACTACAAGACTCATTCTTTACATTGAGAACTATTTTCTGTGTTTACATGTAAATCATGTTCTACCTCTTCCTGTGTACTTTCCCAATGAAGACGACGAACAAGCACTGTAGCGCCATCAATATTTATAATGCTGCCGTTTGGTGGCACTTGATCAATAACTTGATCAATGTCATCTAAGTTCCACAAGCCGACAACACATGACATGGTCTGGGCTTGTTCCATTTTGAATTCTATGGACTGGACTGGTAAGGACAGGGAAGTAAAATAATCCACAACAGTTTTCTTACTCACATTACGAGGTAAATGATCANCTTGCAAATGCTTACTGTTGTAAAGTTGTCATGTCTCTCAATTGAACATTCCTGAGTGGCTAAGTCAAAGAGTCAACTGCATATATTTGGCCATTGCTGTATTTAAATAGACTGTTTTAATTACTGTAACAATTATTTTATGAAAATTATAATATCATAAATTATTTATTATAGATGTATAGTAGTTAGCTGGGATCAATTTTATTATAAACTTGTTGATCCCAGAATTAATTGTCCTGGCTGTCAAAGACATGTTCCAGAATACAATTTTTTGCATATATATTATAATGTATAGAGGATTTTTTGGTGGAAAAAAAGCACACTTTTATATTCTACTGTTAATTAGTTTTACCTTAGTTTTTAATTGTAAAGTGTACACTTGGGAACACAAATATGGGATATTATATTATTTGGCAAAAGGAACAATATCGTTGTGCAGGCTTGGAGATAATTTGGTGAACTTAACTTTTACATCACTTGCATATTGTAGAAAAGAGCTGTTTGTAGTATCAAGAATTTAACTCTTCTTTCTGGTCTCTATTTCTTTTATTAATGTTTTTGTTGTAGCCCAAAATGTCAGTCATCTCACCGTCATGAAAATGCAAGCCATCTCTCGCCTGAGAGTAATAAGTGCAGGAGACGACTGACACTTCATGTAATTTTTGTTGTAGCCTTGCTGATATGAACATATCAAATTGGCTTCCCCATAGGGAAATTCCCAGCTGGGTTGATCAGAGGGACTAGAAAGATTCTCTAAGGCAAAGTCCTCTTGTTAACATTTCCTGCACAGACTACCCCCCCCCCCCTGAAATCACTGTCACAGTATTGCAAATTCCCCTTTCCCCATCCCTTGAATTTCTCTTTTGTGACATGTACACAGTGGTACTTAATTCACATTAATAAACTTTTTTTTCAATGCCTAATTTTAAGTAAATTATACATTTTCACTGTTAGAAATACCAGGGAATACTAATAATAGTGTAATGCTGTAATTAAGTACGCCTAGGACGTGAACTGCACATGCACAGTCTGAAAAGTCAAGTTTCATTCTTTGAATAAATAACTATCTTCTGTGTTTACATGTATATCAGGTTCTCCACGTTCCTGTGTACTTTCCCAATGAAGGCGGCGAACAAGCACTGTGGCACTGTCAATACTTACAACACCATTGTTAGGTGCTACTTGATCGATAATTTGATCAACGTCATCCAAGTTCCAAAACCCGACAACACATGACATGGTCTGGGCCTGCTCCATTTTGAACTCAACAGACTGAACCGATAATGACTGGGTAGCAAAGTAATCTGCAACAGTTTTCTTGCTCACACTACGAGGCAAATGATCAATTAACACCATCATGCTTCGATCACTCTCCTGGCTGTGTGTGTCACTGTCCATGGCTCTAATGTCAACTTCTTGTAGTTCTAACTTCTTTCCACAAACAACATGAGCACTTTGCAAAACATTCTCTACAGTGTGCTCATCCTGAAATTCTATCGTCGGCAAGCCTGGTCGGGTCCTGAACATCACTCCATGAATATTAACATGAGTGGATCGGTAATGATCACTTGTCAAATCCATGCATGAAATCTTACCAAACTGTTCAAAATAAAGCTGTAATACTTCCAATGTTATGTTCGCAGGTGTATCACGTAAAAGAATAGTTTTAGAAATATTGTTATTCAATATTGGCGTCACATACAGCTTTCCTCCAGTGGCAAGTTCTTGAACTGGTTCCCCTGTGGCCATATCTGCACTAAGTTCTGTTTTGAACACCACCATACATTGATAACTATGTTTATTATTTGAATCTCTTCCGTGAATTTTCTCGACCTCTCCAAATCTTAAAAAGTGCCCTACTAATTCGTCATCAGAAGTATCAGGTGACACATTATAAACACTAACTGTCCTTTTCACTCTTCTTGTAATCTCATTTTTGTCCTCTCGTCGTAAAGGCTGATCCACATTGATTTTCCAACCTGCAATTGAATGTAAACGTTTTGATAGCACTTCTTTAACACTTTCTGGAGTCTTAAATGTTACAAACCCATAGGTTTTAGAAGTAACTATCCTTGCCTCTTCCACTTCTCCAAAAGCTGAAAAATATTCCTTCAAGTCATTGTCAGTTGTACCATGGACTCCTGTTTTGAGCCCAGAGACAAAAAGTTTTCTTTCTTCTTTTTCCGTTGAATTATTATCCTTTACAACAGAAATTTCACCGGACTTTGTGACAGTTTTTAAGGCTAAAGACACTTTAACACCGTTCCCATCGATTACGTGAGTTGATGAAGACAAAATTTTCTCGACGACTTTTGAGTTCTTAAAAGTGACGAATCCATAACCTTTTGATCTACCAGTGAGATGATCTCGGATTATTTGAGTTCGAACACAATAGTGTCGAGAGTGTCAGTGATATCAAGGCATCAGGAATACTGTATACTGTCACGAATAGGGGACACTGACTTATTGCAGGTTTAGCTTGTTAACCATCACTTCTTACCTTACATTGGTGACCTCAAGTGTGAAATGCTAGCTTAGGAAACACATTTTGTAAGCAAGCATAAGCCATGATTCTCAGCAAAAATATAATTTTCATTATAAACGCATCCATTCATTACGTTACGAAAATGTAGTCATTCATCCACCAGGCTAGAGCACCTTTATCAGTCTCATAGCCGAGGTTACTTATACTGCTATACTATGGGGTGGAGCAGTCAAAACAGTTTGCATCTGAATGAAAAGTACTGTACATATCGNTGTTAACTGTCACTTCTTACCTTACATTGGTGACCTCAAGTGTGAAATGCTAGCTTAGGAAACACATTTCATAAGCAAGCATAAGCCATGATTCTCAGCAAAAATATAATTTTCATTATAAACGCATCCATTCATTACATTACGAAAATGTAGTCATTCATCCACCAGGCTAGAGTACCTTTATCAGTTTCATAGCCGAGGTTACTTATACTGCTATACTATGGGGTGGAGCAGTCAAAACAGTTTGCATCTGAATGAAAAGTACTGTACATATCGTGCACAAGCAAGGCACCATATGAAAAGGAGGGGATACTGAGGAGAGGGTCTACCTGCATCATTTAAATTTCTTTTTTTTTCTCTTCTTCTTCATACAGGTACCTTGATTGTATTGGGCTGCTTCAAAACTTGTTATTATTCTTTTATGCTTGTGTTTTGTCTGCTTTGTTGCACAGGCTCAGATGCATTATGCCAGATTATGCTGTTTCCAGCAGCGACCCCCACCCCCTCACCCCAAACAGCCCTGGCCTGTATGTCCCTTGCTTTGCTCTACGCCACTGGTTGTTAAACCACACTGTGAGCTAGACGTAAAAAGTAACAGCCAATTTAAATAATCCTGTTGTACCGAACGTCTTAGGTTAGTTCGCAAACGTACATGTATATTCTTCGCGGATTGATGGTGTTATATTCTTTGTTCTGAAATCAACGTTAACGAACTGATCTGACTGACCGTTAGCAAAACAACTGGGAGGCGAAGCGACTGCAATTCTTTCAGCATTACACGTCAGGATTGATTGAAAGTTGCTTTTCCTCAGTCCCTGATATAATCGATCAAAAGCGATACTAATCAAACTTTAATTAACGAAATCGATCAAAATCGATAATCACAAAGAACCTGGCCATCAATTTTGATTGATTTCCGATATTAATCAATTATTATCATCGATGTTTATCGATTTTGATCGATTTTGATCGAGTATCGGAATTATTGATGTGTTACATCCTGTTTTAAATACTTAAGGGAAAAAGAATTTGAATTGCCGTATCTTTTAGTTTTGTTGTCATTCACACTACATTTCTTTTGTATTCCATGCAGTTAGACCAGAGTGAAAAATTCTTCATGGATGATATTCAAGGCAACCTACATGTACGATTGAGTGAATATACACTGCAATATTTTAGTGATGGATGAACAAATTAAGTCCAAAAGACTGTGTAGATCTATTGTTTTGCGAGAAAGACATGCTGTCCAATTGTGTCAAAGAGCCAGACGCATGGTGGCTGGTGATGTAGAGATTTTTTTTTTTTTTTTTTTTTTTGCTCCTAGGAATAAGAGATTTAAACAAATTGACATCAAAACTTGAATTATGGAGAAAAGAATGCTTGATACTTGTCAACATAAGTATGTTCTGTAATCATTGCAAAAATCTATTAGCGGACATATCTGCAATCTTTTTTAATATTACTGCATTGCTAGTGAGACTAGCACAAAGAATTACCAAGATATATACACTGTAGGATTAAAATACCATGATTTTTGTTTCCAGGAGAGAAAATTATTGTTATTTTACTTGCACGCAGTACAATAATTTATGTAGTACCGTTATTGTATTGCACCAAGCTGGGGGACCTCTTCCTACAGTTGACTAAAGGTGCACTTTTTTTCAAGCTGTAGGTATTATAAGACTAAACAAGACAGGGATTTTAAGCAATTGATTATTTATCCCACAAATGAGATCTAGTGGGCCACATTAGGTTTGTGAAAGGGGTTTCAGGCTAGAAGCTACATGTATATGAAAAGAAAGCCTTTCCTGTTTAAAACAGTGTAAAATGGATAAGTTTTTGACCTTGGGCCAGAGCCTCCTTTTAAAAAACTTTGTTACTTCCCTTCTTCCTCTCCATGGACATAGTTCTATAGAAAAAAAAACCCCTTATAAATTGTAAATAGAAACATTCCCTTCACATCAGGTTCATGATTGAAACAAAACTGTCTGAAATCATTCCTATAATATTGAAGGAAATACTTATTTTTTCTATAGATTTCCTGTTTACCCACAAGCTACAATCAAATTGTTTATGTTTGACTTAGCTTAAAGTAA